TTGGTTTTCATCGCGTCGTACCTGATTTGATTTAAATCGATCGTTATTTTGAACTCAATTTCGTACGATTAATTTCGTCGAGCCGGCTCGAACCCGAACCGACTCGAATTGACTCAAATTTTGGACTCGAATTTAATCTGATCTAATTGAATTAGATTTGATTAGCTCAATTTAATCATATCCGAACCTGTTTAACTTTCCAAAAAAATTTGAATTTGTTTCCTTGATCAGAAAATCGCCACGACGGCCACGATCGAGCGAAATCCTCGTTTCAGCCAAGATCGCGCTGATCAGAAGATTTCTGCGATTCGAGTAGGCGTCGAGCGAAGAGCAAAGCTGTTTGAGGAAATGTCGGACGCTGGAGCACGATGGCGAGAATTGGCGGGCTTCTTCTTTCGGCGATGGACTCGATTTACTCGAGACGAAGGCGCTCTCTCTCGGCATTCTTCTCTCCCGCTCTCTCTCTCTAAATCCCGATCTCCCTCTCAGTCTCTGGCTCTGAGTCCCGAAGTTCCCAGCCGCTCTCCTTCTCTTGGTCGCCCTCTCTTCCAAGGCCGAAGCCCGAGCTCCCTCTCGATCTCCCTCAGTTCGCGCATACAGGAGAAGCCGAGGCCCCCTCCCATTCTCGGTGTTTGCGAACTTCAGCCAAGACGGAAGCCACCCGAACCCGACGATCCCGTAGTCTTGGCTGACGCTGATCTGGACGGTCCACCCGAGCCCGTCGCATCTCCTACCTTTGCCGACCGGTATCCCTCAAGGCTGCAAGGTAAGCTTCTCTTTTTCCTCCTCCTCCTCCTTCTTTCTTCCTCTTTTCCTTTTCCTTTCTTCTTTATCCTCCTCCTCCTTCTTTCTTCCTCTTTTCCTTTTCCTTTCTTCTTTAGCCTCCTCTTCTTATTCTTCTTCATTGGTGAATGAAAAAAGAGGAGAGTATTGTGAAATGTCTTTGCAAAAAAAAAATCTGAGAGCTAAAGTTACATTTGGATTTTATTTTACTTCAAGAATGTGATGGCTGAAATGGTTTTGAGCCTGGTTATAATTAAATGATGCATCCACTGCTATTTCTTGTTATTTGATTTTATTATGCTTGTTTGGTTATCAGTTGGTGTTTTGATCCTTAGGAAATGTGGAAAGTTGTTGCTAAGCATGAATAGTCCTATGTGTTATGAACAAAGTGATTTGTTGTTAGAGAATGAGCAATTAACACGATGAATTTATTCTTGATTCATGCTATATCTCCTAGGGTTTTAGGTGTGAACGATTTGGAATCATGAGAGGTCATGTTGTTTCTTTGTAAAATCGTGCACATCAAGTGTTTGGTAAAATGCCTTTAAGGAATTTTTGTGAAGTTTTGTGAGTGACTCATGAAGCATGGGAAGCTACTTGACCAA